GGTATGTTTGGCTGTTTTGGGTGATGTTGGTATGTTTGGCTGTGTTGAGTGATGTAGGTATGTTTGGCTGTGTTGGGTGATGTTGGTATGTTTGGCTGTGTTGAGTGATGTAGGTATGTTTGGCTGTGTTGAGTGATGTAGGTATGTTTGGCTGTGTTGAGTGATGTAGGTATGTTTGGCTGTGTTGGGTGATGTTGGTAGGTTTGGCTGTGTTGGGTGATGTAGGTATGTTTGGCTGTGTTGGGTGATTTTGGTAGGTTTGGCTGTGTTGAGTGATGTTGGTATGTTTGGCTGTGTTGGGTGATGTAGGTATGTTTGGCTGTGTTGAGTGATGTAGGTATGTTTGGCTGTGTTGGGTGATGTTGGTATGTTTGGCTGTGTTGAGTGATGTTGGTATGTTTGGCTGTGTTGAGTGATGTTGGTATGTTTGGCTGTGTTGGGTGATGTAGGTATGTTTGGCTGTGTTGAGTGATGTAGGTATGTTTTGCTGTGTTGAGTGATGTTGGTAGGTTTGGCAGTGTTGAGTGATGTAGGTATGTTTGGCTGTGTTGAGTGATGTAGGTATGTTTGGCTGAGTTGTGTGATGTTGGTATGTTTGGCTGTGTTGAGTGATATTGGTAGGTTTGGCTGTGTTGAGTGATGTAGGTATGTTTGGCTGTGTTGAGTGATGTAGGTATGTTTGGCTGTGTTGAGTGATGTTGGTATGTTTGGCTGTGTTGAGTGATGTAGGTATGTTTGGCTGTGTTGGGTGATGTTGGTAGGTTTGGCTGTGTTGGGTGATGTAGGTATGTTTGGCTGTGTTAAGTGATGTAGGTATGTTTGGCTGTGTTGAGTGATGTAGGTATTTTTGGCTGTGTTGGGTGATGTTGGTAGGTTTGGCTGTGTTGGGTGATGTAGGTATGTTTAGCTGTGTTGGGTGATTTTGGTAGGTTTGGCTGTGTTGAGTGATGTTGGTATGTTTGGCTGCGTTGGGTGATGTAGGTATGTTTGGCTGTGTTGGGTGATGTTGGTAGGTTTGGCTGTGTTGGGTGATGTAGGTATGTTTGGCTGTGTTGGGTGATGTAGGTATGTTTTGCTGTGTTGAGTGATGTTGGTAGGTTTGGCTGTGTTGAGTGATGTAGGTATGTTTGGCTGTGTTGAGTGATGTTGGTATGTTTGGCTGAGTTGAGTGATGTTGGTATGTTTGGCTGTGTTGAGTGATGTTGGTAGGTTTGGCTGTGGTGAGTGAAGTAGGTATGTTTGGCTGTGTTGAGTGATGTAGGTATGTTTGGCTGTGTTGAGTGATGTAGGTATGTTTGGCTGTGTTGAGTGAAGTTGGTATGTTTGGCTGTGTTGAGTGATGTTGGTATGTTTGGCTGTGTTGGGTGATGTTGGTATGTTTGGCTGTGTTGAGTGATGTAGGTATGTTTTGCTGTGTTGAGTGATGTTGGTAGGTTTGGCTGTGTTGAGTGATGTAGGTATGTTTTGCTGTGTTGAGTGATGTAGGTATGTTTGGCTGAGTTGAGTGATGTTGGTATGTTTGGCTGTGTTGAGTGATGTTGGTATCTTTGGCTGTTCATCGGATGCTCTCTATTTTACTAGTTTGTCTTCTCTTTCCTTTCCTGGTACATCTCGGTGTCCTGATATTCATTTTAAGGTTTGCTCGACTGCACAGGGTTCAAGAAAGATGTTTATATTTTTCAGAAGTTGTAGTTTGACCCTTGTTGTTCTGAGATCTTTATTCCCAGCTGTCTAAAGTATTGGTGAGCAGTGGGAGAAGATAAAATTTCTTTGTTTGCTGGGATAAACTCTGAAGATTTCCGATAGGTGTTGTAACGCTACTTTAATGACGGTCACTTCTGTTTCATAATTACTGCAGATCGCCCCACAAGGGTCGCAGAGGTAGACACGTGATCGGTCTATTCGTACACCATAGGGAAAGCCTGCAGTTATTATTCCTTTGGACGCATCTGTATACATTAGATCTAGAGCCTGTGCGTATGATGCCATTATTTTTTTTACAACAGCTTTCATTGACAGTAATTGGTCTGTACTTCAACTTCAGGGCTTTCATGGTACGCTCAGACATTATGTACGCCTCAGTTTGGGATAACATGTTTTAAACTAGTTTGGTCACTGCGTATTTCATATTAGCCAGCATGCTGGACACTTGATTGAATGTTATCTTAACACACGTCATGTAACAGAACAACTTCAAAAAGTTAGCAAATCTATTTTTAGTATCCAGTAAAAGACTTCCAGAGTGTTGTCTAAAACTCTTTAGACGTCTTATCGTGTTGACACAGGCAGCCACAACGAACATGGGCAGAGATAAGAAAGTTAAATGTAGAACAAACTGCTGAAGGAATTTGTCCCATAGGTGAATGGTCAATCTTGAAATGAACAAATAGATTTAAAAAAAGAAAGAAAAAAAAGCAGATCCGTCTGCTACCTGCTGTTGGTCTTGTAACTTGTAGGTAATGAAGCTGAACTACACACAATAACTCTTTTGTACTGGTGCACGGCTTGTTTCCATAGGACCAGTAGAGGCTAACAATATTGTCTTAGAGTCCAAGGAGAAAAAAAAGAAAAAAGGGGGGTGGGGTGGTAATATTACAAGGAGTCTGTTATTATTTAATGAAACAAAATAATGAACATATGTAAGCTAAATAGCGTTATGCTTGTCCAGCTGCTTAAAAAAAGTGTGCGAGTGTGGGGGGGGGGGCGGGGGACGACTATATATATATATATATATATATATATATATATATATATATATATATATATATATATACAAAATAATGAACATATGTAAGCTAAATAGCGTTATGCTTGTCCAGCTGCTTAAAAAAAGTGTGCGAGTGTGGGGGGGGGGGCGGGGGACGAATATATATATATATATATATATATATATATATATATATATATATTTATATATATATATATATATATATATATATATATATATATATATATATATATATATATATAGGCTCTGGTACTATATCCTATTTCTGGTATTATATTCTTTTTCTGGCACTATATTCTTGTTCTGGTATCATACTATATCTTTTTTTCTGGTATTATATCCTTTTTCTGGTACTATATTCTTTTTCTGGTACTATATCCTTTTTCAAGTACTTTATTCTTTTTCTGGTACTATATTTTGTTTGTGGTTAACTTTCTGTATCAGCTGGAGTGATATGATAATAACAATCTTTCTTTTGATAGTTTCTAATGATAAACATACATGAACAATTCACATATTTAAATGTATTTATTTCAATCAGAATTCTGTGTCATTGGTTTATTTGATGGAAGAACAACTCCAACCACCCTCCAACAAACTGGCTTAGTTGACATGATCAGTTGTGCCGTCGGCAGTAACAAGCTGGTCGGCTCTTACACCATCCAGACCCCACGAGATCTCTCAGGGACATCATCCAACCCGGGTGAAGGTCTCTATCAGTTTGTGAAGACCTTGCCTCACTATTTGACAGTTGTCACTCCAGCTCCCACCCCAGCTCCTACCCCAGCCCCTACCACAAGCACATGAACTGTCACAAAAACTTCTAGCACTTCTTTAAAACTTAGAAATTAAATGTCATTTGTACATTCTCAAATTGTGTTTCGTTGATTCACTGGAACATGAACTTGATATATGGCCAGTAATAATTTCACTAGAACATGAACTTAATAATAAACCAGTAAATAATTCATTCCAATATGACTTTGATATACAACCAGTAAACATCTCACTGGAACATGAAAATGATATTTGACCAGTAAACAGTTCAGCCAAACATTTTTTTAAAGCTTGTAGGCCTGTACCCATTGCCAGATTGATTGCTTCTAGTTAATAACTACTCAACATTGCATGAGTATGGTCAGGATGATTTCTCAGCTGAGTTAATGGGAATAAGTATCTACTAGCAATAATAGAGGTCCACAATTAGAAACATATTAAAGTTGACTGAGCGCCATTGATCCCGCAGATAGCAGAGAGCTGGCAGAGTTCAAGGCCAGAAAACTTGAATGACATGACGCATATTTGAAATTAGGGACCTTAATGCACAGGTCTCATGTCTTGACCATTCAAACACATCCCGTCCTCAACTAGCTTTGGTAGATATTTCTGTTTCATTAAAATATCTGTACTTTCACAAATATTGGATGATGGTATGAGCAGTTTTACAGAAAGGATCTTACATAAAATATATCATAGACTTCATTTAAAAAAATTGTTATTGTTGTTTTTCAGTTGACATCAGCACCAGCAATCCAAGATGTCCCTATTAAGTTCATGTATTTTTCACAAATTAATAAATGAATTATGTGGCCACAGTAATAATAAGACAAAGAACTCTACTAGGTTGAGATGTGCCCAATAGTTTTAAACAAACACAAACAACCAAGTACAGCATGTTAGAGGAAATTAAAGATACTTTGAAAATATTATATTTATTAAATTATTGAATAGTAAAAAGTACTGTACATCACAAAAAATCTCTGCTTATCTAAAATATACTTCTGTTTGTAAAGAAACAAATAACTTGCACTTCAACATATTTATAGTCTCCCTTTGAATCATCATCCTTCTTTGAATATTTTTAGGTGAACTTAATTAACTACTGACTGAGTGAAAACTTTGTAAGTTAATTTATACTGATTAAATTTTATTGCTTGAGTGCTGTTAAGTATGTCGATTAATCTTCACTAAACTAAAGACTGAACATGTTTAATAAATACAAGACAAAAATCATGTGGAGCTGTGACACTTCAAAAGTGATTAAGAGTAATATCATCCTAGTAGGAAACAATTGATCATTTAGAAAAGACAGAAAAGGCAGAGTTGTTATGCCTGAAGGATTTTTTCCAGCTCTTCACAAGAGTTAACTGGCAATGCACAAGAAAAATCCTGGCAAACATAAGCTGTTGCCTTGTTATCTACTTTGATATATGAGGTAATCTGGCTTAATCTTTCTTTCAAGAACTCATCCGTCTGTCCATCAGTGACCAACAAGACCTTGTTGGGTAGGTAATACTTGTGTACTGTTTGAATTAAAGCCTTAGTGTCCTCACTCTGCTTGTCTCCAATGATAATTACCTATTGATTAAAATCAAAGTTGGTCAATCACTGGGATTTTCTGACAATGGGTTGAAATAAAACAATAAAATCACACAATTGGCCAATTCCTAAGCAATAAATTAAAGAATAAATCACGCCACATCAGTTAAGTGGTAGATCGCTGTCTTCTATCAAATGAATTATATTATATAAAACTAAAAAATGTACATCCATCAAATACAGATTTGTGTTAGCCATAATACTGACAGATGAATAACTGAGTTCAAGAGATAACTACTATTTACTTGTTGTTTTTTGGAGTGGTAAAAGATGAGACTTGAGACTAATTCTGGTACAGCCATGGGCACCTTCTCGATCCTTTCACAAAAAACTTTAAAAATTCTCTCGGCCATCCCAGTCCACTCTGGCCTGTCCAGCATGGCGGCCAGTCGTTGTAGGTTCATGGCTGAAACAGAGTTGGGGCTGGGCTCAGCACCATCTTGATCTGGTGTTGGAAATATACTTGATCAATTAGTGAAGCCATTGAAAACTATGAAACTACATTTTTAAACATCATTTTTCAATGTGACTGCAATTCCAAGTATGTACATTTCTATGGCTGACATCCTGGCACAGGCCCATGATGACAGTTTGAGTACTGTGCAAGGAAAAAGTTTAGATTTTTTTTAAGGCGCAATTTGATCTATTAAGTTTATTAACTTTGATGAGGTTTTTTTTTTTTTTAACTAATAACATTTCTATTTGGGTGCTGCCTGGCCGAGTGGTCTAAACTGAGCAAATCTCAAGTTGGTGGACTGGTGTTCAATTCAAGCAAAAACATCACCAGCAACCCGGGTGGATGGGACTCGTTAACCTTGGATGGCAACTCATCTAAGAGAAGAAAACTCTGAAATCAAACCCAGAGGTAGAGTCCCGAAAGGCGGATAACATTGGTACAATGAAACATTCCGACAACTCCTGCGACGTCACTGGTGCCAAGCTGGCAATTTGCTGTTGGGAACCAGCTTATAATCCTTGTAGAATAACCCCAGGCTATGTGGATTTCGTCCTCCGAAGCCCACTCCATCGTCACTTTGTGACAGACGGATGCCACCATAAAAAAATAACAAACATTTCCAACCTTTAGAATTGAATTTGAAAATGTATGTCAAAATACTAATAAATAATAAATCCATCTGATTTAGGATGCAGCACAAACAGTTAAAAATAAAAATAGCCATAGCAGAAACGAAAACAGTCAGACCTTCTTTAAGTCTGAGGACAATAGAGTTATCTCCCTCTGGACTTGAGAAGAAGCCACCATTCTCATTGTCCCAGAACAGCTGATTCTGTCTGTTTTGAAGCTGTTCAGCCCAAGCCAGCCACTCATCATCAAAGCAAGCTTCATATAAATCCAGCAGGCCTCGGATTACATAAGCATAATCATCTACGAAGCCTTGTATAGGGATATCTCTAAACAACAAAATAATTTTTGGATTTTATTTCTACTTATCTCTAAAAGGAGTGAGACAACATTAGTTATATCAATTTTACATATAAGCAGTTCTTTTAAAAACCAACCAGATGCTTTGTTATGATATGAAGATATGAAAATGCCCATTTAAAAAACTAGTTAATATGAACCCTTTGAAATGAACAGGTTAAAATGCTGCTGTTTTAGCATTTACTTTTGAAATTGAATAAAAATGGTTTCAAATTTAGCTGATATAACCAATTCCTACAAATTACATTTGAGAGACCTCCTGGTTGTCTGATGTATAACAACTACGTAGCAGAGACTGTGTGTCTGACAGAACCATGTTCCGTCTCATGAAGGAGGCCGCTTGTGTTGCTCTCTCTATCAGGTCTGGCTTGTTCATGGTCTGCCCTCCTCTGGCAAATCCAGAGATCATCAGACCTGTAAGAAGTCTTCAAGATTAAGATTGAAGTGTTTGTTTGTGTTTTGGTGGGGGGGGGGGGGGGGACACGACACCTTATCATAATAATAACAGCTAAAAGGAATGCTTAATTTAGATGATGTTATAAATCAAATAATTAAAAATAACAAATTAAGATTGAAGTGTTTGTTTGTGTTTTGGTGGGGGGGGGGGGAGGGACACGACACCTTATCATAATAATAACAGCTAAAATGAATGCTTCATGTAGATGATGTTATAAATCAAATAATTAAAAATAACAACATTAGGAGTTTGATTCATTCATACTTTCTATAACTAAATTTCTCTATTTGAATCTGTTTAATGCACAAGCCAATTCACATAGATTTTGTGTGTAAGCAGCTTTATCTTTCTTGGTTAGACACATAATTACTTAACCTTTTTTTTTTATTTCCAAAATAACACCATACCTTCCATTTCATTAAAAAGGACACGGTCAAGATGAATATTTTTGAATACACCAATACTTTACCATTCCATGCGGCCACCATTTTATTATCAAGATGAGGCCTAGGACGTGTTTGTCTGGCTTCATATAGAATTTTCCGACTCCTTTCTAAGGCCAACGCTACATCTTCTGGTGAGAGATCAAACTTTGAGGCAGTCTCTTCAGTTGTGGAGCTGATGATCAGGATATTTTGATGTTTCAGTTCATCATGCGGATCCTAAAGATTGAAGTACTATTTTATGATCATGGAAAATGGGAGAAAAGTGTTAGACTTCAAGAGAACAGGATGGGGATGATTTCATATTTTTATTCATTACAAAGTAAAGTAAAGTTAGTTCAAAAACCTTTTCATTTTTTTTATTTCACATAACCAAGTCACTTCATTTTATTATATTGGTATAAAAAAAAATATTAAAATGTATATCACATTGCAAATATTACCTGCAATGGATCAACATTGCCGTCTTCTTTAACCCCATAAAAATGATTGAAGATCTCTGCCAGTGTCACATTGGTTTTTCCAGGAATTTTCTCAGACAAATGCAGGTCAAGTTCTTGTTTCTTCCACACACAGAAGGCCCCCTCCTTTTTGGTCTGTGAGGATTTCAGGGGCAGAGAATCTGCATCCTCTGCACTGTAAAATCCTCCTTCCTTAAATTTAAAAAATAACAACAAAAAAAAAAATGTAATGGTAATCCAGATTTGTGGAATCCGAACATCACAATGTGACGATGGTGTAAACTTCAAGGGACGAAATCACAAAGCTTGAAATTTTTTTAAGGAGGATAAGCTGCTTCCCTAGACACCCAAGGGACATCATCTCTGTTTTTTAATTCAAAGTTTTCCTTCTCTTAAATGAGTTGTCATCTAAAGTGAACAAATCCCTTCCACCTGGGGTGCTGGTGTTATTTTTGCTGGGGACTGAACTCAAGAACACAAGTTTGGAGTTGATGCCATTTAGACAGCACAGCAATCCTGATTATAAATTCTACTATTTTACAACAAATTTTGCTATTGTAACTTATTTAGATTTTACAGAACTGTAGGGAATAAAGTTATTCACAAGGAAAGGGTTTTAACAATAAAACGTAAAGATGGAGGGGTCCAAATATGGCAAAAATTCCATGTTGTCATTGGAAAAAGTCTGGAATTAATAAAATTCTTACTAATCATCATTATAGGAGGATTGGAAAGAGTAAATTTTTTACAAAGTTGCACTTACTGGATGACTTAAATCTCTGCTGACATATGTGAATATATCTGTGGCAATATCTGCAAAAAGCGTGTCCTTTGTTATCTAAAACAAAAGTAATTCCATGAAGAACACAATATAGTCAATATAGATTAAAATTATATTAAACTAAAAGGTATAAGCTATACAGATATGAAACTATTTGGCTGAAAGTATTTTTAGTGCTGGGTAACCTGCAATTTCCCATCTTTGAACTATTTTTATACACAAAGGTGCTAGTGTTATTGTCATTGCTGATCCCCCTTTATTAATGAAGTTACATATGGCCAAATCTGGGGATTAAAGAGGATGATCTGCGGATAAAATCGGAGGATCTGGGAACAGTATAAACTTGTTTGTCTAAAACCGCTACAAAACAAAACATATATCGTACATGTGCATTCTCTTGGTGAAATATGTTTGCATGTCACATGATTCCAGGACAGGGTGCAATTACATCCAGTAACAATTACATCCATGCAAAACTAGGCTGTGCATTTGGACAAAAGTACACTTGACTTTTAAGAGGTTCAAGGTCGACCATCTCATACTCATAGCTACTGGCTCTAACAATGTTGTAACTTTGTATCTCTCAGTTGTTGTGACACCGCTAGTAGGCATTCATCTGATTCACAGGCCACATACGTACCTGGTAGGCATCAACATATGAAACAGCCAGCTGCCCTTGATCATACAACATTTTCTCAAAATGGGGAACATGCCAAATCCTGTCTGTTGAGTAACGATGGAAACCCTGTTTAGAAAAATTCAACAGCCAGTTTAAACTGCATATTTAATATTCAAGGGCAATATTTGCCAATTTACAAGCCTGTCAGAGCAAGACATGAAAGGGGGTTAGAAGGTGATAATCTGCAAGTATTTTAAAACCATTTGAAAATGCTACAAACATCAAAGCTATAATTATTTGCAGATTGAGTGATAAATCCATTTTCATATACTGTGACAGTTGGTTCTGCGGAGGAGGAGGTTATTCAGCCTAAAAATGGTATTGAGCTAAAGCAAAAGTATTAAAAAATTGCATCAAGAGGTTTGGGCTAATGAAGGAACTTAATTTCATGACTTTATCCTGCACTCTGGAAACTGGATAAGAAGCTCATCGTTGCATTTCCACTATTTCCATTTGATGGAATGTGGCTTTAGTGTGGTAGTAAAGAAGTCAACAAGATTAATGAACAAGTTGAGTCATAACAATCCTACATTTAAGCAGACCTAACAAACTGTTATCACTTCACCAAGCCCATCCCAGGCATTGAATATTTGAGCAGTCAAGAAGTAAGTTAGTGGTTAGCACCTCAAATAACAATCTGATGCGTTGTGCGGACGGGTCTACTGACTCCATCAAACCATCTGACACATTGTGTGGACGGGTCTACTGACTCCATCGAACCATCTCACGCATTGTGTGGATGGGTCTACTGACTCCATCGAACCATCTGACATGAATTAACTTTAAGGAGATGCCAAGTTCACTCAGCAGGTCATCAAGGACATTTGGGTGAATATGAAAATAAAAAATGTCTATAGATAAATGTTGATGTAACAAAATGGTCACCACTGAACTTGATGGCTCACCTGTGATATGTGATCATGTATTCCACCACTGGCCATTTTTGTTAGAGTAAACAGACACATGTGCAAAGCATGGGCCCCCATCTCACTACTAGGGTCAGAGTTAAAGATGCGAAATAGCAGGTTGAAATTTACTACAAGAAAAACAAAATTTAATTATTTATTGATCATGTCTGATGACTCCAGTACAATTAAAGGAAACAAAGTTTCAACTCATTTCTTTAATAAATCTTTTAATAAAAGTAGTAAAATATTTGGTAAAATTTCAGGCATTATATCACAAACTTTGGCATAATTACCCCTCAAAATTACCATGGTCTAATTAAACTATCGTCAGGTTTCTTATGGCTGGATTTTGAAAATAAACAAATCCATTAGCTTCAAAATATACATCTGTTATATTATCGTATAATAATTTATTTTAAGGCCGATGGTATTGTTTAATAAGCTCAAACCTGGCTGGGGAAACTTAGGAGCTGATCCAAATCCTCCTTCTTCCTGATCAAAACGTTTTTCTAACATTTTGTAACACTTGGTGCTGGCTTTCATTGCTGGCACTCCAGGACTGCTTTGGTCTGACACATTGAGTTGTCTCATCATAACATCAAGAATTTTGGTGCCCTGGCTTTCAATTTCTGATCTTTTCTCTTGCCACTGTATTGCAATTTTTAAAATTGTATGAATTACTTGAAGAGTAAATCTATTTTTACTTATTAATTACTTGTAACAAGGCAAAAATTAGTTACTTATATTTACAATTCAAGCTTTAAGTTTATGGAATTGCACCAAAGCTCTGTTTTAGTGGATTTATTAAGCATTTATAAATCTGTATGCTAAGTGTACTCTATTTTTTTTACATTAAATCCAGGTGTGAGAGATCTTAAATAATGAAGGTAATTGAATTCCATAAAAAGTGTTAAATAAATTATTAGAAACTTTGGGTGGCAATGTTGAAATACCTGATGAGAGATAAGGGTTAAAATAGTCTTGAATCCAGGCCTGTTATAGTACCTGTCATCGGGAGGAAAGTAGGTTCCACCAAATATAGGTTTCAAATCTGGTGTTAGCCAAACACTCATGGGCCATCCGCCACTGCCAGTGGTTGCCTATAATTTTTAAAAATGTACGCGGTAATGAAAACTTTACTGTTGCTAATATATTTGGTATAAAATAATTTTCATATTATCTTGTAATGTTGTTTGTCCCTCGCACATGAAGATGACCAAGGCTATATTCAAAAGTGAGTATGCAGGTGGCCTGCCAGTTCTATTTGTGACTGGAAAAGCTTTCCATAAACTTGGGACATACACTGTTTTGGGTCCTAGTTGGATTTAAGTTGATCCTGCTTTTCCTTGCCGTGCGCTTTATTTGGGCATGAGCGGCACTCTTATTTTCTGAGGATTGTGCTCCAACAGTGAGTCTGCCATGCCAGCTTGTACGATCCATAGCAAATGTTTCCCACGAATCAAGGTCTATGTCCATGGATTTGAGTGTAGCTTTAAGACAGTCCTGAAATGTTTTTTTTCTGCCCACCAGCTGAGCTTTTTGATCTGCAGAGTTCACAGAAACTTCGGACTATTGTTACTTGTTTGGGAAGTCTGCAAGGACGTAATTGTCACAGGCCTTAGAAAATTTATCAAGCTTTTGCTGCATTTTCAGTTCAGAGCTTGCATTTATTACATTTGAGTCATTTTTTACAAATTGTATAACTCATCCAGAACCAGAATTAGTAAATTTATAGTCAAAAGCCAACTGTTAAGCAAAATTTATGTCTTACACTTAATTTAAACGTTGTTCACTTATACACTTTTTACATAATCTGTTTTTCTATAATGATATACTGGTATGAAGAAACTAGGAATCAAATGTATAAAATATTAAGTAAAGAAATGAGGTATAATACCTGTACAAAAGTCATGTACACCTTGTCTACATCTGGACGCTCCTCTCTGTCCACTTTGATACTCACAAAGTTTTCATTGAGCATTTCACCAACATCAGGATTTTCAAAAGACTCTCGCTCCATGACATGACACCAATGACAAGTGGAGTAGCCCACAGACAAAAAGATGGGCTTGTTCTCTGTCCTTGCTTTAGCAAAGGCCTCCTCTCCCCATGGATACCTATCAATTTAAATGGGAGATTTATATAAAACCTTTTTAAAAATGAATAGATGAATTTCAATTACTGTAAAATATTTTTAAATTTCAAAAGTTAATTTTTTTTTTACACCTAAATAGCATCATAGATGCGACTTCAAGAATTGCTGCATTAAATTTATAGATGAAACCTCCAAAAACACTTATCAATAAAACTTTCTTGCACAAATTAAAATAATTCTCACACTAACATTTTACAAACATAGAACGAAGCTTATACACATATATAAGTGTATGTGGTGAGAGACTTCAATCAGGTTAGTAGACGGAAATATGTGAAACAATGTATGGGAAAATCTTTAATCAGAACGCAACAAAAAGGTTGACCAAATATCTCTTGCTGTTCTCTCAGATGCTACATTGCTGCTAATTTTTTATTTTTATATTTTCATTACTCTTGTTTGTTTGCTGAAGAAGGCTTCTTGCCAACAAGTTTGTTGTTTTCTTGCATCCTTTTCTCAGTTTTTCCCACACCTTATTTCCTTAGACATTTACCAGTTGACAGGATTATGAGCATGTTGTAAAAGGTAGGGTGATTTTTCAAGTGCCAGTCTGTTGGTAACTGCTGGTTTCTGTGTGCTAGATGACATATTTCTAATAAGTCTGGCAAGAAGATAAGCTAGATATTAGAAATATGTAATACATATTTGAAAAAAAGTTTGCATACATTTAATTCACAAACCCTTACATCTTAAATAATTAAAAATTAAAATATTTTTTGGATTAAAGGTGACAATAAATAATAAAAAATTACTATTTAAAAATTAAACATTTATTACAATGAAGTACATTAATTTTTTATAGGACACATTAATTCATTTCTGAATATTTTTCCAACATAATATTACAAATAACTGGCCCAGCGTACAACTGAAAAGTCTTAAATAATATAATGCATATTTATATTTGTAACTTAATCGATGTGACCCTTTGAAGAGTAAGTTAAATAAAAACATCACTAAAACTAATCTTTCCTTTACTTTAAGTGGATAGTAGGAAGTAGGCCTTGGATAGTAGGAAGTAGGCCTTGGATAGTAGGAAGTAGGCCTTGGATAGGAGGAAGTAGGCCTTAGATAGTAGGAAGTAGGCCTTGGCTAGGATGAAGTAGGCCTAATTTATACCCTCAATTATAGATGCTAAATTTTTGTTTCAATTTCTTTGTCTTTGGAAAAATGTTTCAAAGATTACACAATTATCAAACAATTTCAAGAAATAAGACTGTATATTTAATAATGAATGGGGTTCAAAATTGTTTACCCAGACTGAAACTTACATAAATAAAACCTAGTATTAGTAGGTAATATTACTTAAAAATACATAATAAGATAGTGTTTATCATGCATGTATAGTTTGACACTTATTACTTATTTCATTATGTTGCAATTATGCATTTTAAAAAAATTATAAGAAATAAATAAATAAATAGACACCTTAAAAGAAGAACTGATTGATTCCTTGAAGTTTTAACAAAATGCCAAACTGCTTTAAACATTTTATTCATTAGCCTAGAACTTCTAAGTTCTTGGATAGGGCTAGGCTTGCATAGTTATGACAGGTCTATGACTGAATGAGGGAAAATTGTATATATAATTATTAATAATTATAAAATAATTGCTTGTTAAAAAAAAAGACAAGATTTTTTCTCTTGCTGAGCCTAAACAAATTTATCAAAATATTAGGCCTTCTTATGACTAAGTCAAGTTATTAATGAGCTAATGAGCTCAAAGTCTCAAGTCTGAGTCAGTCTGAGACTGTTCACTGGGACTGGTCGGTAATGGCAATGGTAGGCATAAACCGTGTAGGCCTAGTTTCTTTTACTCAGGCCAAGCTCTCTGGTCTTGGATTCTAAGTTGTAGCCCACCATACAGGTTCAATATTATTATTTATTGTAGGGTGAAATAAAATTATAGAATTATATATAATTGATTAGAAATACTAACTAGGACTAGGACTATTATTACTTAGTTAACTTAGTCTATAGACTAAAATCTATAGTTGTACTAGCCAAAGTGGCACGGAATGAGTAAATTGACCAAAGGCCAAAGGCTAAAGGCAGTACCATATGATATATCATAACATTATTAACATGACATATTTAAAATTTCTTTCACATATTGAACTGATAGTTCAATATTTGTCACCATTAAAAAGTAAAATATTAAAATTATAAAATAAAAACTAAAAACCGAAAGTGGCTTTAACTTTAACTTGAATTTAAGCGAGTACTTCAGAGTAATGATCAGTAATGAGTTTGTAGAGTTAGACACGGTGAACAATTTAATTAATCTATAATTAAATCATTATTCATTTATATCAAAATTTAAATATTTTAAAAAATCCATGACATGTTCAACGCACATTTTTTTAAAAACAGTTTAAACTGTCAGTTTTTGTTTTGTAAGTGACACACCGAGTGAAGTCTGAAAATAAAATGTGTTAAATTAAAACTAGATTTACGCTTAATAATATATGTTTAAAGTTAAATTAGCTGATAAAACGTCAAAATCAGAGTCATTTGAAAAATTAATTTGTATGATGAGCTTGCATTGGCATTAGTGCCATTAGATCAGGTTGGATGGATCATATAAATATAAATATAAAAAAATACACTAAACCAAAACGCATTTAATTTACGTGCCAGTTTATTTTACTTTACAATATTTTAGTTTATGCAAGGAGTCGGTTTGTTTGAACATGGAGAAAAATTAATGAATTTAATAGCACCTTTCAATTAGTTTCTCTGCTAATGATATGAAGAACAATATTGAATTTAAAAACATAAAAACGAAATTACTTAAAACAATATATAATATTTACTTCTAGTTAATAAAAGATATAATTAATTAATGTCAGTTTTTAATATCACGTCTCTGTGGCGCAATCGGTTAGCGCGTTCGGCTGTTAACCGAAAGGTTGGTGGTTCGAGCCCACCCAGGGACGTTATTTTTGTTGCTCCTTCATTTGCGTTGTTTTAGTTGCTTTTCATTTCAAATGCTTACAAAACAACAGTTGCAACCGCAGAACAATGATATTAGTAAAAAAACAGTGACAGTTTAATTTTAAACAATCATTTTTTTTAAAGAAAAAAATCAGCGTATTTACCGGAGTTCAGACGTCGGGTTGGGGGGGGGGGGTGGTTTCGAAGAGGTGGCAAGACGTACCAGAAGAAAAAATATATAAACTAATATTATAAGAGATGTTGAAAGAAAAAGGGTAAAAAAAAGTTCAACTCCAATCCAAACCAACCTGCTAATACCAAGAGAAAGGGATCGTTCACATATTGTAAAGTATGTAACGCGGAGGTAAGGCATGGCTTATCATTGTGTCTATTTTATGGGGTTGGGAGCTATGTTACATAACATTTTAAAATAAAATAATTAATTCTTTTGTACAAAATGTTTGCAGTTCAATTGTGAGAAATGAGGCACAAACAAACAAATCGTCTCTCATCAATCTAACTGAAAGCTTTATCGTAGTCCAACACTCTTAGCATTATTTACAAATTAGCCTATAGATTTATCAAAACAAGATGTCTTTTTAAATCATGTATATTAACTTCGCTTTTGTTCGTGTGTTTCTTTCTGGCTTGGTTGCATAATCTTCGGACGTCTCATTGACTCAGTTTCCTCAGTAAGGTACCTGGATGTTACCATTCAAAGAGAGTTCCGCTGAGACGAGCATATGAACAATGGGTGAAACCAGACAAACAAGACCCTAGGATTCTTAAGGCGAAATCTAAAGATCGGCAACTCCGGTGTGAAAGAAATTGCCTATAAAGCCTTTGTTCGTCCGATTTTAGATTATGCATCTTCAGTCTGGGACCCATTCACCCAGAAGAGCATCGACAGGTTGGAGGCGGTCCAGCGACGAGCAGCACGCTTTGTCCTGAGCCGCTACAGGAATACATTTAGTGTTGGCAGCATGCTGGAAACACTAGACTGTTCACCACTAAGGGGAAAGCAGACGATTATCCAGGTTCTCCATGATGTACAAGATAAATAATGGGCTGGTCCACTGCTCCAGGATTAAACAGAACTCGACTCTCTCCCTCTTAACAGCGACGAGGCCATGACAGGCAGTTCCGCCTCATAACAGCAAGAACACAGTACGGGAACTGCTCATTCCTGCCAAAGACAATCAAGGACTGGAACAAGCTTTCAAAAGGAACAGTTGAGGCGACAACAATCGACACATTTGCGTCTATTGCCCCAGGCCTTCAAACCCCAGTTCATGATACCCTCACTGAGTAGCCCTTGCAGTTAAATGTCCTCTTCAATACCAGGTACATAAACATTGCAAATCCCTCTACATACATAGGAACCAGAATTATCAATGCGTTAATATCTAGAAAAAGAACCTATCGAGCTGAAACTTGACACATAGACTCGTTGCCTGTGACAATACATTCTGTCAAATTTTCAGACCCACCCCAACCCCCCCCCCCCCAATCGTTTTTTCCTGTTTTTCCATGGGAATATGAAGGAAATATGATGGCACTGATTACAATGCGTTAATATCTAGAAAAAGAACCTATCGAGCTGAAACCTGACACATAGACTCGTTGCCTGTGACAATACATTCTGTCAAATTTTCAGACCCACCCCAACCCCCCCCCCCAATCGTTTTTTCCTGTTTTTCCATGGGAATATGAAGGAAATATGATGGCACTGATTACAAGAAATCAAATTCCCAATACCCGCGCTCAAAGAGATTCTTTCTTTTGGAACAAATTGCGAGTGCGTTGGATGCGTGTAACATTTTCTGATGTTTCTCTGAAATATTTGGTGAAATAAATCTGCGATGTAAAAACGGGTGGAACAATAGAATATTAATATAAAATATTTTTTAAAATGCATATAAAGGATTTATCTGAATTTTTTGTTTTTTAAGGGTTGTTTAACTTGTTTACAATAATTAGCACATTTTTTGAAAAAAATAAAAATAAAAAAACTCCTAGACTTTTGCTTGAAATCTGCTTGTTTTTTTTTTGTTTTTTTGTTTTTAAAAAAAAAAAAAAAATTTTTTTTTATTTTTTTTTTTTAAGGGTTTTTTATATTGTTTATAATAATTAGCAAATTTTTTGAAAAAAATAAAAATAAAAAATCTCCTAGATTTTTGCTTGAAATTTTTTTTTTTTTTTTTTTTTTTTTTGTTTTTAAAAAAAAAAAAAAAACTTTTTTCTGTTAATCGCGGGGACTGGGGGCGGGCTAAAAATGTTTTATATAAGATTAGGGGATTGTCAATGGAAATGTTATATTAACGTCATAAGGGGTGGGTCAAGCATGTCATATTTTTGTGTTATAATATATGAGCATGGCCCTTAAGTGCTAAAGGCTATGTGCGTTCACCTTAAAATCCATACTTATGCAAGGCGTAGTCAGGTGTTCAGATAAAAGCCGTTTTAAAAAAAAATCAGTGTTTACCAGAATGTTCAGTTTTACTGTGGCAAATTTTTTCACGCCATCTTGGAAGTCTAAATTTAGCAGACGTTACATTGTATGGTCGTGATGACAAGTGAGTTCAATCGTTCTGGGGTCACTGCACTGAAGATATTAATTAATTTATGTAATTTTAACTTGTAAATGACGAAAATGTCATAGGATCGCCAACAGGGTTTATATCATAGTATTTCCCACTCAGGCAGTGCCAACAGGGTTTATATCATAGTACCGCCCACTCAGGCAGTGCCAACAGGGTTTATATCATAGTATTGCCCACTCAGGCAGTGCCAACAGGGTTTATATCATAGTATTGCCCACTCAGGCAGTGCCAACAGGGTTTATATCATAATATTGCCCACTCAGGCAGTGCCAAAAGGGTTTATATCATAGTATTGCCCACTCAGGCAGTGCCAACAGGGTTTAGATCATAGTATTGCCCACTCAGGCAGTGCCAACAGGGTTTATATCATAGTATTGCCCACTCAGGCAGTGCCAACAGGGTTTATATCATAGTATTGCCCACTCAGGCAGTGCCAACAGGGTTTATATCATAGTATTGCCCACTCAGGCAGTGCCAACAGGGTTTATATCATAGTAGCGCCCACTCAGGCAGTGCCAACAGGGTTTATATCATAGTATCGCCCACTCAGGCAGTGCCAACAGGGTTTATATCATAGTATTGCCCACTCAGGCAGTGCCAACAGGGTTTATATCATAGTATTGCCCCCTCAGGCAGTGCCAACAGGGTTTAGATCATAGTATCGCCCACTCAGGAGGCAGTGCCAACAGGGTTTATATCATAGTATTGCCCACTCAGGAGGCAGTGCCAACAGGGTTTATATCATAGTATTGCCCACTCAGGAGGCAGTGCCAACAGGGTTTATATCATAGTATCGCCCACTCAGGAGGCAGTGCCAACAGGGTTTATATCATAGTATTGCCCACTCAGGCAGTGCCAACAGGGTTTATATCATAGTATTGCCCACTCAGGCAGTGCCAACAGGGTTTATATCATAGTATCGCCCACTCAGGCAGTGCCAACAGGGTTTAGATCATAGTATTGCCCACTCAGGCAGTGCCAACAGGGTTTATATCATAGTATCGCCCACTCAGGCAGTGCCAACAGGGTTTATATCATAGTATTGCCCAATCAGGCAGTGCCAACAGGGTTTATATCATAGTACCGCCCACTCAGGCAGTGCCGACAGGGTTTATATCATAGTATTGCCCACTCAGGCAGTGCCGACAGGGTTTATATCATAGTATTGCCCACTCAGGCAGTGCCGACAGGGTTTATATCTGACATTTTTATCCCGGGGGGTGGGAGCATTAATGATTTTCAGGGGGTGCAGTGGGTAGTAACCAGAGGCGTAGCTAAGATGTGGCGGATGGGACATACGTCCCGGGGCGCAAGATTAGCGAGGACACCAAAATGGGCTTTGGTCGTTAATTCTAAAATTAACAAGTACCAACAAACCAAAAAAAAAAATAAATAATTGAATTGGCATAATCGAAATGCGAGTTCACAAAAATCTTCTTTGAAATTTTTTTTTTTTTTTTTTTTTTTTTTTTTTTTTTGGGTAACCTCCTGATAGATTCTAAGATTTATAATATTTGTAAAAACCATATCATGCAGATAGGTGGGGCAATTTGTTTATTATTCTGATATTAAAAAGACAAAAATGTAATGAAATGTAATGGACTGTAATAAATATAAGCTAATTTTTTTTAAACCCCTGTTATACTGGAAACTTTGTTCCTAAAGTAGCACATTTAAAGAAAACACAAACGCTTTCGGTAGCATAATTGATGAAATCAGCACTATTTGTATGGGCCCATTAAAATCTTAATTACAATAATATATCTAATTTTGTTTTTTTAATTTCAATTTTAAATAACTCAACATTCACGGAATCGTGCAGTGACGTCTTAAGGCATGGGGCCAACCGGGTATTGGTCCAGGCCCTCACGATTCAAGGGGCCCTCACGCTTCTAGAAGACTCACTCTTTTACAGGCATCATGCTTTACATATTGTTAATAAATTTTGAAAGATTTTGGCAATTTAATTTAAATTAAAAGTCAGTGAAGTTTTGTAACTGTAAATTTTGAGAACACCTACTTAAGTTTTAAATTAAATCCAAATTGATATTTAATATACTTACATAC